GATCGCATTTTTAAAAACGTACCAATAGATGGCCCACCCTGTACAAGTCATCAGCCTTATCAGTGTCTTATCATCTCTTATTAACCTTACCTTGAGTACACAACGATCTCGCAACCTGCAAAAAGAATGAATGCAGGAGCTAGTTAGTCTTATTCTTCTAGCCGACAATGTATTTAGTTTAGTACATACAGCAATATATTGCTTAAAAACGGCTTGATTTTTAGATAAAAAAAGAGCGATTGATCTTATGAAATGCATGGTACAGTGGCCTTGCCAGGGATAAAAATAGTCTTTGCTTCAATAATGAAAAGAGCGAGAAAAGAAAGAGTCAATGTCAAACAAGCGGGGTATAAGCACCAGGTGCTTATCACAGCCTGATTTATCCCGCAGGTGACAAGGGAAACTTTTCGCTTGATTGACAGACTGTGTCAATCCGCATGAGTCACAATTGGATATTATCGGATCGAGAGATGGACGCATTATGTAATAACCGTCGTCGCGATATGAAAAGCCAGGGGAGATTCTAACGAATCTTGACGAGCAAACAGAACCTAGACTCGCGGCGGCGAGCACCCTTTGAATTAATCCAGGACGAGTAAAGTGTCGAACATCAGCAGCCGCTACCGTGGACAAGGGCGGACAAGGGAAGAAGCGGCTCGTTGTACGCTCATCGTACTCACCTCGGCCCGCAACACGCTACTTCGCGTGATTACGCGAGGCGCGAACCGCGAACAATTGGACAGCATCGCAGCCATCCTCAGGCAGGCGAAGCGTGCACTGCGCGCACACACACACACACGCACCACACACTGGGACGTCCACTCGCGAACGATGAACGGTGGGCAGACAAAAGCGGACAATAGGAACGACGGGGCGCGCGCCCACGGTTTCTCTGCTTTCTCTGACTTCTCAGTAATCTCAGTTCTCGTTCGCGGCGATTACGACGAAACGAGACCGAGAAACGTCGAAGCGGGAGTCGGGAGACTAGTGCCGGAAAGGTTGCATCAGATCAGAGATGTGCGGCGGCATCTGTTAAGAATGGACTACACTAGCATTTTACCTGTGTATTCCATAAATTCCCAGCAAATTTTCAGCAATTCTGAAGCCGCAGACTGGCTGCTTTTTTTTTTTCTAGGAAACGTATGTCCACCAATGTTATTCCAATTTTAATTTGGGTTCTACTAATATTCTTCATTTTTTTCTAATTTTAAGAATTGAAAAGATGAAGAGTAAATTGAAGCCAGATTTAAGTCATTATTAAGCATTAAGCTATATATTGATAGAAACGGGCACTCAATGAATAACAAAGGCTGTTTTCCTTTTAGAAGACAGTCCTCACAAGTATCCTATCCTTATTTATTGAATGCTAATGCTTTTTTAATCATTTCCACTAATGTAGATTAACTTTAATTTCAATTCAATTTATTCTCCATCTTTTTTTCTAATTCTTAGATTAATTTAATCTCGGTTCAATTTTTTACTCTCTTATATCTTTTTCTAATTTTAAAAATTAAAAAGTAAGATAAATACGTTAAACTAAGATTAAAGTTAATCTTACATTGGTGGAACCAGGTCTTAAAGCCTAAAAATACCATGGAAAATTAAATCAAGATTAAAGTTGGTCTACAGTGGAAGTGGGTATAAGAACAAGGATAAAATGACATTTAAATTGCGTTTCCCTAGGGAAAACAGTCGAAGATAGAATGGCTGCGTTCAGTAGAAAAAGCAGCTTTGCAACTGTTGTAAAATTCTTGAATACGATTGGTTTATACATTTAGATCCAATGAGGAACTAAGGGCAAGACCAATCATATTGAAGAATTTTACAATTGCAAAGCTGCTTTCTTTGCTGAACGCAGCCAATGACATTCGTCTCTTTTAAAAGGAAAGCAGCCTACGTCTCAAATCTTTCCATCTTTGCAATGTTTTTTAGTGCACATGTGTTTCCGAATATATCAGAAGAAGAAACAAGAGAGAATGTAAGAAAGATATTAAAGCCAATTAATTTCTGTGAGAACTCGAATTGTGCTACTATGATTGAATTCAATATCTTAGGTGTTGAAGGAAATTCACATAACTTGATAGAATAGTATTTAACAATATACAAAAATCTTTAAGAATACATTACATAATCTCAATAAAATTTTTATAAACTTCACTATTTATTTTTTCTAGTATATGCACAGCCTTTATTTCCTGTGTACCTTTGGCAAATAGTGGTGTTAATCCACATCAACAACTTTTTATTGTACATCTCCTCAGAGGTGCACGTGACAGACATTGCAAACACAGTCAGTCTTGCATTCTCGATAAACTCTGCAGTAATCTGTTCTGGTATCTTTTGAAAGTTTGAGTCGAGACACGGGTATCCAGTGACATATACGTAGTCAAACGGTTGAATTTCTTTACCCAACAAACCACCATTCGTCTCTGACCACCACTCGTTCTCCAGAACCTACCATTAGAAATAATTTATCTATACTGTTGCAATAAATACATACAAATCATAGAATTTATTGATTTTATAATTTACAAATTTATAAATTCTCTTATAGCGAGTTCACTTGCATTATACTAAATTAGAGCACTAAAACTGTTATACATGAAATGAGCAAAATTAAAAATGTGAATAGATATTTTAAACAATTAAATATCAATAATATTATTGTCATGTTATTTAACAAAATATATATTTCAAAATTGATTACATTATGTCATTACATTTAGATGCTTTATATAAAGTAACTATTAATGTGCACTAATCCAGTGTAGCACAAGTGATCGAATTTACTATTAAATTCTTACAGCTATATCATGTAAAGATGCATCACGTGGATAAGAGAATTTTGGACGTGTCTCAGGAAACTTGTTTGAACAGCTTCTACTCGCTTTTGCCTCACTTGTCCTTACATTTTCAGCTTGGTTCCTGTATTTCTTATCAATTTCCTGCCGTTTTTCCAACGAGTACATATATTGTTCCAATTTATAATTAACCTGTACCACTCCTGTCCCATCCTCAACTGTAAGAGAATCCCAGAGTTCAAGTGTCTTCTTGAATATTGTTAAACTTGTTGCTCATACTTTAGGTCTATTCTTTTCAATTGAACTTGTTGCACAATTTATCTTCCTTTTTTTTCTCTCCACACTGGAGAAAAAAAAGAAGGACAGTACAAGAAATTGTGCTAAAAATAAGTAATAAGCTTCTTTCCTTACTTGTCAGAAACAGATTATTAACATTATGCTTAACATGCATAACAATTCCAACTAGTTCGATTTTATGTACTTTAATGTGAGGCATATTAAATGGATGAAAATCTATATAGCGGCCTTCTTTGTAGGGTACTAATCGGTATAGTTCCATGATGAGCACCGGTATATTCAACGTCGTTCGTGAATCTGAAAATAGAATCGACATTGTCACATGCCCAAGGACTTGAATAACACCCTGTACAACACAAATTAACAATAACGTTACATTAAAGTTATAATTTCTCACTTAATAATATAAATGTAATATAGCACATGTTAGTACCTAGGGTATCTTCCAGCAAGAAACACAGTCACTCCATTCTTTAGAGGAATAACTATGATTGACCAGTTTTGTAACTACGGATGTTATTAAACCTGATTAAAGATGTCCATATACAGTGCAGTGCATTAATTCGCCAGGTCATAGTAGCAGCCCGACTTACTTAAAAATAAGAAAATGCAGTACTAAAAAGTTGATAAAAAATAAAAAATTCTTAGAGTTCTATGAAAAAAAAATAAATGATTTTTGTCTCTTGTACTTTTTCTGTAAAGTTGATAGTATTTGAGTAAAAAATAAATGTCGATAAGTTGGGCTGCTACTATGACTTAGCGAATTAATGCACTGCAGTGCAGTATACACGTGGTCATAGATGACATAAGTTTGTTTGCATTGTATGTTCAACTGCTCATATGCTCCAACATGCTCTTATCATCGCTCCTATTCACTCCAATGCGTTTGCTGGAATGAGTAGAAGCTATGTTGAAGCATGTGGCGTGAAAAAACCTATTGTGTATCATAGTGATCATTATATCTTTATTGTTTACCAAATCAAGATGAAATGATCACTGTGTTATTATACTAGGTATGCCTCTTGCTGGAAACCATCATCAATGTTATTTTTAGGTGTTCTAACCGAATAAATTTGTCCTCACCAGTTCTGATGTTGATACCAGGCCATTCCTTTTTCGTCGAGAGGGATTTTTGGTGGTTGTCATATTCCACTCTGCTGAAGACAGTAATACCCTTCACTGATTTCTCGTTAGACATTTTCCTCGGTTGACCGATTTGGGTTCAGTTTTTCATAAGATCCTTTTATCATCGATGATGCTTCCACTGCTTTCCCGATTGTGTCAACAGCTGTCTATAGCTCATAAAAAACCGACTTTCACAGGATTTGAAAAATCTACGAAAGCAGCGAGAAACCCTGGGAAAGTCGTGATTCCCGCGAATGCCCTGAAATACCCGAAGAACTGCGCGAAACTCGGCGAAATTGCGAAACTGCGCGCGGCGCATTACTGGAGATGCTGGGGATCCTAGGAATGTACTCCATTTCATGATGCGCATGATGTATTATTTTATCTTTCTTTAATATTCAGGATGAAACAACAAGGATGAAATGATATATTATGGACACCATGCGCGTGAAATGGAACGCACTTTAGTCACTGCACAACTGCACTACCTAACTTCGCATGCATCAGAAAATTACAATTCCACGCTAATCTGTCTCAGATGATACGATACTAGCTTTTTTAGCGGACGTTGATAATATTTCGTCGGTAAAAGAGAAACACTTTAATTCTGATGTTCTCTTTGCGAATTCTCCAGCGTAATTCAAACGCAAGTGAAACTCTCTTTGTCTATAGAACGGAAATGTGGGATCGTTGGAGTATTTCTGGCAAAATCCCACAATATCATGATCCAATTAAATGAACAAGATTAATTTGGTTAGTTTAACAGATATAATTATCAATTTCATTGAGTTTCAACGTGATCCTGAGGTGAGGCTGTAATGAAATAAAATCAGTTTTTTTAATGGTTTCTTCCAGTTTATATATATATATACCAGTATACGTAAATGTCAAGCCCAGGCGAAGATGGTTGAAAAGGAATCGTTTAGAGAGAAAAATATCGATTGAAACTTCAGTTTTTTAAAATAATCGTGCCAGCAGGGAGAAACCTGAGAGAGCACATAAGGGCCTTTTTTTTCTGTTAATAATGTTCACCGCAAAAATCCCTCCGCGCAATATTGCCCTCTGAAGAAGTGGATGTAAACAATATCCATTTTTTTTCGGTGCTTCTGATGAAAATAAATCGCTGAAATCGTGGAATCTCTACTAATTTTATGGATTTATTTCAGCGATTTCAGCGATTTACTTCCATCAGGAGCACCTGATTTATTTCCATATAAGGAGCCATATACAATTTGTTATAAATATACAACTTTACAAATACTTTCTAAAAATGCCAAAATATATAAATGCCATAAAAATCGTTTAATAATTTTTATACTCTTGTAAAAGTGATGAAAATTAATTCAGAACCTAACATGTATATAGTAAATGAGGATATATCCAAAACTACTGAGTATATATTAAAGGGGTTAAATAAAGTTATTTAAAGTATACACTCTAAATAAAAAGATATAAGAATTATTTAGTTTATTTATTATTTATTATTTTAAATAACTACACTTCTGATTTATTTCTTACTTAGTGTTTTAAATAAGTTTCCCGAATCTATTTTGTATTTTTTAACCAAGTCGTATCAATTTTTTACCGATTCTTACGATTTTATATTTTAAATAAATTTCTGAAACTTATTTTATATTTTTTATTATATTTTTATTGTATTTTTTAAATAAGTCATAACAGTTATTTTACCGAGCATTATGATCGGCATTATACGTAAGTTTAAAGAATTTTTCATACACAATAGTAGGATATCTAAACGGCAAGGGGTATAAGGGGAGCGTAATTATAGAGACTTTGGGACATACTTACGTACTAGTAATTATGTTTGGTAAAAACGGGCTGAAAATCTGCATTAAAAAAATATAATTTCGTAATTCCATTTTTATGTAGGCGCATATTATAAGACAAAATTCGCTAAATTAACTTGTTTGAATATCCAAACATTCACTTCTTCAGAAGGCATCCTCATGTCCTCTCTCAGAATTCTCTTTGGTGTTGCAAAGACGAGGATTCATTAATCGATTAGCGACTTCACGTATATATATATTTAAATAAAGTTTATTTTGAAGCATTTTGCACAACACTGCTCTACACATCTGTTTACGTAAATAAAATAATCCCGATCGCAAGAATCCGCTTCGATATAATCATATATTTGTATGTACACACCTTACAGAGACCAAGTTCGTTGGATTAATATAGTACATAGTGAGCTGCCAAATGATTCTCGAACATATATCTCTCTCGAGTTTGCCGCCACTTGTTTTTAGAGTCGCCTTTCCTTAGTGACTAGGTCAGTATACATCTTAAGTCATGCAGCGGTTTGCAAGTTTCGACTACGAATAAAACGGCGAATATCAAAAAAACGTTCCTTGTCATCGCTGCGCAGAAAAGGTTTTGCATAAACGTCGCATTGTTTCTGGTGTAAATGCAATAGCATCCGGCTTTGGCAGTATGATTTTTCATTCTCCGATTTAGGTATACAGCAGTGCAATTTCTCTTTTCTTTTTCCCTTATTAATACACATTATGTATCGTAACTTAGGTCTTTCTTAAAAACACGTTGACACGGCTTACAGCTTGAATGAATGAACGTATGTACGCAACATTGAACATCGTGCGATAAGTAACGCAAATATAGGGCCTATCTTGCAAAATAAACATACAAAACACCAAAAGTTCAAATGTACGTTATTTCTCTACCCTGTATAAGCGACGACAAGATTCGGAGGTCCATGTACGCATCTGCTCTTGATTGACACAATAATAATTGTTCACGTTTTGTACTTTGTAAGTTAGGTACAGCCCATTCTATCATTGCATAAGCGTAGTTGTAACTGGTTATAGTTGTAAGAATTGACCAATCGGAATCAAATATTTTCCTCATGTTTGACTGTGATTGGTTAATTCTTACAACTACAACCACTTAGAACTTCATAGCTTAGGGTGCCTTCCAAAAAGCGACCCAATACAACCCAGTGAACATCTCATTCTTGTTTAACATTGGTGAACAACGAAGATGTAATGATGTACCGTGTCGCACCGTGTTATATGTGTCTTGTTGGAAGGCATCCTTAATGTACATGTTCATCACAACGCTCGGACGACCGTCGAATTGAATCCTTTGAAAACTCACAATAGCAACGTGATTTCTGCATGGTCAGAGAAGCCCCTTGGAGCTCTCCTGCGACATATTAATCGAGAATTACATTCGTTACATCGCCACAAAGTAAAAAAGAACCGCGAAGAGAAAGAATAAATAAAAAATATTGCACAAAAATAGTTTATACATTATCAATTAAAGTCGACGCGCAATATCTTTTGGGTGGATGTTTTATCCACCCAAATGGGGATGGAAGAATCACTACTGTTCCGTTACGTATATAATACAGTTTGATCATAACCATTGTAATAATGGATGTTTTATCCACGGGATGGAAGAATCACTACTGTTCCGTTACGTATATAATACAGTTTGATCATAACCATTGTAATTGTTTATGACTAGTAATAACAACTAACTAAACGCTGAGATTGCGCTAAGGGAAAGTCTCTTTGAAAAGTAACATTACTCGTTACAAGTAATGACTAAAAAGTAACGAGTTACAAAGTTAATTTTTTCAGTAACGAATGACTTTCAACTCGTTGCAAGTAACGATCGAATGACTTTCCAACCCTGATGTTACGGTTACAGCCATAGAAAAATTCGTTATTGCCAAATTGTTATTATGACAGAGTAACGATAACGGTGTTACAATAATTGTAACTAGTAACTTCCATTCCCTGATTTTATAATACCATTGGAAAAAGAAAAATAACGTGAATACCAGAATTCACATTGTTAATTAATCTAAATGCAAATCCGAAATGCGATAGAATCACGAAAAACATTGAATACATGTTCGTTCAAGAAACAGCGTTAAAAATGTTCTTGTACGACAGCCTTTTTTTTTCACGCGTTATATCTTAACGTCGGTTCAGCGAAATGTTTTATAATGATGGAAGAAAAGGATAGATTCGATTGTCTTCGTCGATATCGTGTATACGAAAAATATATACATACAATAATAAATTTGACGTTTAGAGTGCTTTCGCACAATAGTGCAATCGCAAGAAAATGAAATTCTCAATTTCATTGATAAGAATTAGGATCAAGCTCGTTCCAAGTAACAAAAGAAGTGGTTCTCGTTGCAGAAAACCAAACCTGCTACGAGATTTCTCGTCAGCATTTTAATAAATCGATGAAAGACTTGCAAAGACTGATACTATTATCAGCGAAGACGTACCTCTCGAGGGGTGCTACCGCATAACCACACGTAGTCATTTGTCGACTTTGAATAATACCGAAAACATGCCAGTATAAATCAATAATTATCCTTACGCGATCTTTTTAAACGCGACTTTTTTTCATTGCAAACAACATTGTTATACGACTAGCTTCTACTCTCTACAACCGTAATTCGAAGGATAATGAAAATATCCTCTTTAATCGTTCTTAGAACGTATCCACGCCACAGGAATCTCGAAGCAAAGGAAACCAGACCAGGAATCTCGTATTACATGGGAGATTTCATCGATCAGAAAATACCAATTGCACTCGATCAAGATACAGAATGAGCCTGATGAAGTGAAAATCAGTAGGGAATATTACTTAACGATCAAAGACAGAGAGAGAGAGAGAGAGAGAGAGAGAGAGAGAGAGAGAAAGATTATTCCTCAGCAATTAAAATTAGAACTTCAGAAGATATTGATTCACGTATCGTGTGGCGTTTGTGCAGGCACACGTGTCTTTGTGTTTTCCTGGCTCTGGGCAGCTTTTGAGCCTCTTAAATATTCAAGCTCGTTCATTAGATAAGTAGGCCTCTGGATATTTATTAAGGTCGGCGTCGAATTTCTCAAAGGACGTATTCCTAATACCGATATCTATCTTTCAGGTTCATACGGTATATTGAGAGAACAAATAGAGAATATATTTCGAGTTAAATATATCTTTTCAGAAGGTAACGTTTTAGAGTCTCTCTAAATGCAGCGCAACATCTTTCTTAAACGTCATTCTATTATTTTCATCTTTCATACGTATAGCATTTATCCCGTCAAGCAACAATCATTCACAGCGGTAATTACGTCGCAGCTTCCGCTTTTTTCCGTACATACACCACTCATTCTTACCAACTCTTACGATATAGTCGTGTCTCGAAATTAAGCTTTCACAGCGAGAAAAATTTCAGAAAGGTCTGCGGAGGGATCGGCACATGGAGAGATGCTTGGTCGACGTCCGCGAGTTTCTCTTGAAACGCAGGATCCTGATCTGCGATGCAGGGATGACCCAGCGACCGCCAGAATAAGCAGCGGCAATTACGGCATAACTGTATCATTTCGGC